TTCAGAGGGTTGCTTAGCACTGGGCTCTAGCTTATGCACCTGGGGTGTATGTGTCCCCACCTGGTGGGCTGAGCTGACTCAGTGCTGGCTTTCTGAGACCTCCTTGGGATTTCTCTCCCACCCCAGCCCTCTGGTGCCCAGGTTGCCTCGGGATTGCTGTTCATATCTGAAGGTGGACTCCCCAGTCTTGGCACCCCTCCCTTGCTACCTCACCAAGTCCTGAGCCCAGCATACTCTCTAGGCCACAGCAGTAGTCGTTGTAGTGCCAAACCTCAGGCTGCAACCTACGCCTGCTCATGGGTCCTTGAGTGGATATGGGAGTTAGGAGAGGCAAAATGTGTCCTCCAACTCACCATCAACCCCCAGGGTACCTAGGTATCAGGACACCCTTCTGTCTATTGGGAATCTGCCCTCTTCTCTGCCAGAGTGGGACTACATCATAGCTGCCTTCAGAATCTTTCTTAACTTCTTGGAGCCTCTTTAAAACTGAGTGGGCCTCCTTTCTCAGCTGGATGATACAGGGGACAGAGCTGTTAGGCTCAGCCACAGGGGCAATGGGCGCTCTCTCTAAGGCACTGGTCCTCAAACTTGGTTGTGCATTGTAATCACCTGGGGAATTTTAAAAAATACTGATTCCTGGATTCCACCTCCTGAAAGTCTGATTTGATTGATATGGATGTGGACTGGACATCAGGATGTTTCAAAGCACCCCCGTATATTCAAATATGCAATGATGTTTGAGAATCACTGGTCTGTAGAATGAAACTGCCCCCAGATTTATTTTCTCCTGGAGAAAAACTGCTTCATTTGCCTTTTGTCAAAGATCATACTTTTTAAAACTCTAAGCACAGATGAGGCTGGCTCCGAGCTCCTTCTGTTTTCCCTGAGTCCAGAGCTGGGTCCAGGTCATCATTAGAGTCTGATCGTTATTATGGAATATTTGACAGATAATCAAATTTTCTAGTTAACTAAAATAAATTACCTTTTTGATTTACACTTGAATTAGAGAGCAATGTAGCATGATGGAAGGGGCTGGGTTTTAGAGGCAGAGAGACTCGGGTTCTAATCATAGTTCTGCCTGTGCTTCGTATGATCTTTGATGGGCGACAACTTCTTGGAGCCTCAGTCTTTCTAGCTATGAAATGGGGACAATGCCTACCTGTCAGAGGTGATTTGATGATTAAATGAGATAACACATGTAAAGTGCCTGGTGCAGGGAGAGGTGATAGAAGAACAGTCTGTCCCACGCCTCCCAGGGACCAGGAGCGTGCACTCTTATCACAGATGGACTGAACACCCTCGGCTCTCAGAGCTGCTCTCTAGGCCTCTAGGTCCCCTGGAGGACCTCTGGTGCCTGTGACGACTTCATGCAGGAGGCAGAAGCCCCGCCTCTTCTGGGATGGTTGTGTGGCCTTTGGGTTCAGGCTCTATATTTCTCGGAACTGATGTTCCTGTGTATGAAATAAAAGCTCAAGGCAATTGCTTGAATAATTCAAATAGAAAAAAAGCAATATATCTAAATAATATTTTATGTAATATATGATTTAAATATGTTATTAATTAACTAAAATAATGTTAAATATTATAAATAGATGTTTGGTTATTTTGTGTACATCCACAGCCCTAGGAGTTCGTGTATTTCAATTGTCTTAAACAAAAACTTTGTTGTATCCTCATTGAAAAATGGAAAATCCTCCTAAAGAAAAAAGCTCAAGGTTGACATAGCTTGATGGGAGTTAGGGACTTTCTGAGGGAAGATAAGAATTTCTGGGCAATGATGTGGTTACACAAAGAGCACATGTCCTTGTGTCCACTCTGGCCCCACAGCTCCAAGGGACCTGCTTGCTCCACTGCCGTGGGTCTCCACCTCTGCTCTCTGCCACAGCGGCCCCTCCTCAGACAGGATGAACTTTTAGATCGAGGCCTCACCTCAGCCACAAGCGTATCCCCTCACCTGCTGACAAGGGTAATAGCCAGCTTGCTGTTTGGCTGTCTGTCCCTTCCCACCTAGCCTAGGGGAATATTCCTGAAGCCTGGCTGCACTAGGCAGAGGAAGAGGGTTGGATAATCCATACTTCCCTGATATTCCCATTCCCCTTATTTTAAGGATGTAGAAACTAAGATTCAGAGAAAGGGGTCACTTACCTAAGGTTGCATAGATAGTGCCGTTCCTGGACCTAAACCCACGTCTCCCATTTCCCAGCCTTTCCCCAGCACCACACCTCTGCTCTAGATCACACCTGATTCTTTTATCTTCCTAGGCTGGCTTTTTTTCCATCACCCTGAAAACTTACTGGTGACTTTTTACTACTTTCAGTGGTCTTCCTTGCAAGGAATGCACATGGAATACCCAAACCCAAAAGAAACACAATTGTCCAGTCTGCTGAAAATCATGCAGCAGCTTTTAGTACAATTGTAAAGTATTTTTATATGCAGACATATGACCAGATAGTTAAAATGCAATGTGCTATTTGTTATAAGAAGGATATTGAGGATGCTGTGGGAGCCCAGAAGACGGAATAACTAACTCATCTTGAGGGAAATCAAGCCTGCTTCTCAAAGGTGGAATGTTTGAACAGGTTTGAAAGGATGAACAGGAGTTTGTCTGAAAAGGAGGGGAGCAAGAAAGCGTATTTCAGGGAGAGGGAACAGTGTTTTCACAAACACAGAGTTATGCAAAGGTTTGGGATATTCGGGAGACAGCAGAGATCTTTGGTATGGCAAGGACAGAGTATGTGTGGCAGATGAAGCTAGAGCTGAGACTAGAGAGATAAGGCCAACTTGGAAAGGGCTGGAGTGCCAAGCTGAGAATTTTAGCCTTTAAGACCAACAGAGATGGAGGATGTGTGGTGAGGCCTTGTCTGATCTTATTCAGTTATTTCTCTTTTTTCATGATGCTAATGAGGCTGTGTTACCACGACTAATGTTTGGGCATCTGGTACGAGGAGGTTGGAAGCCTTGTGGAAATTATTTTCAACAATTAGAGCAGCATTTCTGACCTGAGGGTAGATGAGGAGGGTCTCCCCAGGGCGAGCCAAATGAAAGTGAGGGACAGTCACCTGATTGCCCTGGATGGTGCCTCTATGGAGAGCATCCTTCTCCACCTCTGGCCAGTGTTCTTGACAGGCAGGAGAATATCCAGGAGATTCCAGATCCAGTTCTGTCATTAAAGTCCATGGCTCTGGGAAGGAGGGGGAGGTTTTTTTTTAGGGGAAAGTGAGGGGAGGAAGAGTATTAAACTATTATTTTGCATGATTTTGATTTTGATTTTGCTGCATAATGAGCCACTCCAAAATTTAGTGGTTAAAACTACAGCTAAACTTTATTCTTGATTATGTAGCTTGGCAGCTTTAGCTAGAATTCTCTGGGTGGTTCTTTTGGGCTGGGCTGGGTTTGGCTAATCTCGGCTGTGCTCATGCCTGTGTCTATGTTCAGCTGGTGAGACAGTTAGAGCTAACTGGTTTATGATGGCTTCAGGTGGGACACCTGAGACATCTGAGGCCTCTCTCTGCATGGCCTCTCATCTTCCAGCAGTCTAACATGGGGTTGTTCACAGGGCAGTCTTAGAGTTCTGAGAGCAAGAGCAGAATCTCACAAAGCCACTTGAGGTCTCGACTTGGAACTTGCTGCCTTCTGTTGGTCAAATCAGGTCATGAGGCCAGCCTAGCTTCAAAGGGTGGAGAACAGACTCCACCTTTTAATGGTTAGGATTGCAAGGGCATGGATGCAAAGAGGGTAAGAATTCGTGGCCATTTTTTCAATCTATGTCTCAGACTCTCTGACTTTCATAACTTGGGAGAGTTGATAATTGAGGTTACTGCCTTACCATGAGTGGGATATGAAAAATTTTTTGAATTCCAAGTCAACATTCATGGAGGATCATGTGCTTTCTCAAATATTATCTAATTTAGTCCTCACAGCAACTCTTATTTTCCCTTTCTATTTTACGTATGAGGAAACTGGGGCACAGAGGAGTTAAGTGAGATTTAGTGACTTATCCAACCAAGGTCAGTGGGTGGGAAACCCAGTATTTGGACTTAAGTTTATGTGACTGCAAGTCTAGAGCAAATACCATTGTATCATTTTGATGATAAGAGGCAGAGAATACTGTAGTGGAACTGCTGCATTCACTGCCATAGCCAGCCTCTTTCCAGGTTGTCCCCATCCCTGGGCACAGGCACCTGGCCTTACTGAGGAGGCTCATTTCCTTGCACCCAGTGGGCTGACTCCTCTTGGGGTGGGCCTGAAGAGCACTGTAGTCTCCAGAGTGGCAGTCTCATGCTGCTTATGTAGTTCAAGAGCCCACTATGCTGAGGAGTGTTTTTGGAGACTGTTGCATGTCTCTGGGGAGAGGGAGTAGGACAAGATGTTCATGTCCATAGGTGAAACATACATATATGTGGTATACCCAACCGAGCAAAGGCCGAGCAAAAGCTCTCTGAGCTCCAGGGGCAGACCCATCAGCTATAACAAGAGAAAAATAACTCTTAGATGAGCAGGCAGGGGGGCCTACCTTTCTCTGGCTAGAGCCTTCTGGAAGCTCTAGCTTTGAGATCTTTAAAGCAATTCTGCTACGTGGTGACCTTAATGGCTGGAGCTGTGCCCTGGGCTAAACTGACCCCCTGGAGCTTGGCCAGTAATGGGAGCTGGGCTCTTAGGGCTGTGGAATGAGGCATGGGAGCAGCAGGAAGGAACCCATTATCAGAACCAGAGCAGGCTTGGGCCTGTAGTAGCATAACTTGTGGGAAGGGGAAGAAAGTAGAAGCAGGCAAAGACAAGGATGTGAGGAGGTCTGTAGGGTAGGCCCCTAATGGGATGGTCATGTCCAGAGTACCTGGATGGTAATTGCAGGCTGTGGCATCAAACATGGTTCATTTTGGCACCAGTGGTATCAGCACATACCTAGGTGTTGTATATTAGAAAGCCTCGTGTCTAGGCCTTAATGTTATGTATAATCTGCCATGTCTCCCTGACTCTGTTATCTTTTCCTCACTTCCCAGAGTTCATCTCCTGTCCTGGGTGTAAGCAAGTGTACCTTACCAAGGATGTAACTGAACATTTTCTTCTGCAGTGCTTTTCTACTGGGCAACACAAGATGGCCAGGGTAAGTCAGCACAAGGAAAGAAACAGCTAACCTTTTTCAGAAATCTGTGGGGCCCCTGTCTATAAGTCTGTCTGTCTACCCATCACTCTGTCTAACTTGCTACCCCTCCATCAATTTGCCTAATTATTCATCCATCCATCCATCCATCCATCAATCATTCTGTCCAGAAGAGAATCAAAATGTTTGAGTTGGGGAAAGCAAAATGGGAGTGTTTTTTCTCTCTTACAGCTCTCACTGAAAGATATCCATACTGAGCTTTTATTTCCTTCTTTCTCCTCCTAAGTTGAAACTCATGCACCAGCCTGGATTAAATGGGTTCATCAATCTTGCCTATATTTAACAACTAATACCTTTTTCTCGAGTTTCTGAAATTTCATATCACTTGCTGACTGGTACCCCTTCTCTTCCTCTTTCCACTAGAGTATTTTTGCCACGACATTTTATTCATTTGACAATTTACTTGCTTCAGTATCTAATTCTTATTGAATGTGTGATGTGTATCAGGCGCTGTGTTGGATGCTAGGGAGACAGAGACCATGTTCTCTACCGTCAAGAAATTCATAGTTTAGTAAAACTCATTTATCTTCTTTTTTCGTCCTGCCATGGATTTGTCAGTTGCCAGTGTGAGGACAAAGCTGTCAGAATCCAGATCAGTTTGGTGGCCTGTTTTATTCAGCCACTAATTTTTTCCACATCTCCTCCTTTCCACATATTTTACATCAGCCCTTCAAGATACTTGCTGACGAAATGCATGAACACTTTGGCTAGGAGAGGACTAGGTACTCTTGGGCCTGGCAAGCCCCAGACCAGCTCTTTCTTGGCTGTATATGATCATCTTTCTGTGTACTCCCACAGCTGCGGATCCCTCCTCTTTGCAGGCACATTGGATTTTCTGCTTTTCCCTGTGCCTTCCCATTTTCCTCCCTTGTCTGCCTGGTGAACTTCTCTTTGTCATTCTATCTCCAGCTCAAATGTCACCTCTTTATGAAACTTTCCTGGTCACTCCTAGACCAAGCTCCTGGAAACCTCCCTGTGCTTCCTCAGCAGTCGGTGCGTCCTTTTATCACAGCATTCCCATTGAACGTCTACCACCCCATCCAGGCTGTGTGTGCCTTGAGAGCAGATCCTTGCCTTATTCACTTGAGTATCCTCATCTTCAGCACAGGATGTGTGTGAATAGCCCCTGAGACCACTATTCTTTTAGCCACAAAGGGTGCTTTCCTTCACAAGCCCCTACATGTCACTCCCAGGCAGCTCCCCAGAATTGACTGCTCTCCAAAATAGTGGAGAAACAGCCCTGCAGGACCCTAGTCCCTGGAGCATTTACCACTCATAGAGGCAGACCCAAATGAGGATATTGTCAGTAACTCCTGAACTCTCTGCTTCCAGAACTGCTCTGAGTGCAAGGAGAAGAGGGCAGCACACATCCTCTGTACCTACTGCAACCGCTGGCTGTGCAGCTCCTGCACAGAGGAGCATCGGCATGGTCCTGCCCCTGGGGGCCCGCTCTTTCCCCGGGCCCAGAAGGGATCTCCAGGTATCACTCCCCACCCCCAAGCTCACATGCCCTTAAGCACTGCTGAACCCTAAAACCCTGGAGCAAAGCTCTCTGACCTTGTTTCCCCGCTGAGGGTGAGGGTAGAAGTGGTCTCAGACCCTGTCTCAAAGGAAAGGCATCTCCTGCAGAGTCACAGTCACAGTGTCAGTTCACTGTAGGCTCTGTATTGAGTGAGGAGTCGGGGAGCATGGGTGAGGTGGTTCAAGGAGGCACAGTCTTGAGTTATGATGGAAGCTAGCTGAGTTCCCTACTTTCACCTCTGTTTAGAGCAATCATGCCTTATTTCTATTTAGTTTCTTGATTAATTAAACACCCTGGATCAGGGCTTGTCTATTTGCCCATCCAGCGCCATTTGTTTTAAATGACAATCTTTTTGAAAGTCTTATCCCAAGGCCCTTGAACCATGGGAGGGGTTTTTCCCTTGTCATACCCACAGGAACCAGAGTTAATGATCCATGTGATCTGGCTTGGAGCCTGGGGAGGCTGGTTGACTAGTTTCAGCCCCACCATAATGGAATCCTGGTTAACGAAGAGGTTTAGGTTGAATTTTAGAGGATTCATTCTTCCGTAGGAGATCATGTGCTGCAGTAGCAAGCACCCTCCTTGGCCTCTGGCAGTAGTGGGATGCCTGGGGCTTGATAGTGTGTTATTTCTGGACAGCTGGGCAAGTCCAGCCAGGCTAAGTCTGCATTCCTCCTTGTGCTCCTGGAACCTCACTGTCCCAGGGAGAGGCCTCCCCTGTCTGCACCACCTTTCCTCAAGCTCTGTGTCTCCCCTGTGTCCACTGAGGGCTGAGGGCTGTTCAGCAGAGCTTAACTGAGAGATCTTCCTAAACAAGAGAAGCCCACTTTCTCCATCTTCTCTGGCAGGAGTGAATGGTGGTTCTGGGGACTTTGCCTTGTACTGTCCTCTGCACACACAGGAAGTGCTCAAGCTGTTCTGCGAGACCTGTGACGTGCTCACATGCCATAGCTGCCTCATGGTGGAACACAAAGAACACAGGTGGGGCTGGCTGGCTGCCTGAAGGGGCTTGGGGAGGGCTCTGGGGCTCCCTACTTGTGAGAGCACTGGGCTCCCAGTGCATTAAAATCCTCTCTCTGCCCAAAACAACTTTGGGCTGATGTTTTTCTCTGCTCCTGTTGTGGGGCTTCTCTGGAGAGGCCTAAAGGGCCAAGAGCCTGCAGTATCTCTGACTTTCTCTAGATGTAATCCCAGCCTCCATGGACCTGGCTGAGACAATGCAGTGTGGGAATTCTTGCTTGACTGGCATGCTCAGAATAAGACAAGGCCTTCCTTAGCTTTTTCTCTGCCTTCTTGTCTAGGTGCAGGCATCTTGATGAAGTTTTGCAAAACCAGAGGATGCTTCTGGAAGGTGTGACTACACAGGTGGCTCATAAGAAATCCAGTCTACAGACATCTGCAAAGCAAATTGAGGACAGGTAGCACAAGCTAGCCCCTGGCCAGCCCTGGAAATGCTCTCTTCCCTCACATCCTGGATCCTGATACCAGGCTATCAGATGTAGTACTTATGAATAGGACATGCCATTAAGTGGGTGTGGGCATATGTCCTAGCAGGTACATGTCCTGGCCTTAGAGATCTCAGGACAAGTGAAAGGGCTCCAGATCATCACTTCGTGAATGGGACCAAGCTGGTTCAGGATGATCAGAGTGAGTCTGGGCCAAACTGAAAGTGGCCATGAAATAGCCAAGGGTAGGTGCTTGAGAACAAGGTACAGAGTAGACACTGGGGGAGAGAGTGCTGTTTATCAAGAGGGTGCAACAAGTCAGTGGCAATCTGCCCTTTGTCACCCCTTTCTCAGTGTTTTCTGTATAAATCCACAAATGATAAGAAATCATCTATATTTTATGTGGCAGGGGAATTAGTAGATACTGAGAGCTCATCATGTGGCAGGCACTGGTTGGGCATCATACATGCATTATTCTGTTCAATTCTTACAATTCTTTGAATTGGGGTTATTTCCACCTTACTAATGAGGAGGCTGAGGTTCAGAGAGGTTAGGTGACTACTCTGAAATCACACAGCTAGTTAGTGACTAGCTGGGTTTGGAGGCTAGGTCTATGTGACTTCAGAGCCCATGTTCTTTCTTTTTTTTCACAACTTTACTGAGATGTAATTTGCATACCATAAAATTGTCCCTTTAAAATGTACAATTCAGTGGTTTTTAGTATATTTCTAGAATTGGGCAACCATTATTACTAGCTACTTTTAGAACATTTCATCACTCCAAAAAGAAACCCCATATACATTAGCAGTCAATCACCATTTGCCAAACATCCCCAGCCCTTGGCAAACACTAGTCTACTTTCTGTCTCTGCCCATGCTCTTTTTACTGCATGGCACTCTTCAGAGGAGCATCCTCCTCTTTAAGACAGCAAATTACATGAAGTCATACCTGAACTCACTCTTTCTGTCTTGCCCCTAGTGCTGTGTGAACTGGTGAGCTGCTGGGTTGACCTGGGTGTGGACCTGAGGTTTACCTAGAGAAAAGCAGATTGAACTTTATGCCATTGGCCCACTTAAATCAATGGGCTGGGTTTTACAAAGGGTGGGGTGGTAAAGGAAGGTTCTGGTATCTTTATCTTTAGTCCCTACTGGGCCCTGATCTCAATAGGCAGCCTCCAAGTTGTTGGCTCTTATGTCTGCTGTCTCTAGGTCCTCACAGGCCTGGAGGGAAGGGCTCACCATGCTCTGTTCCATCCTGTTTACAGGATTTTTGAAGTGAAGCATCAGCACAGGAAGGTGGAAAACCAGATCAAAATGGCCAAGATGGTTCTGATGAATGAGCTGAACAAACAGGCCAACGGGCTCATAGAGGAGTTGGAGGTATATGCGGGCAGATGGACCAGATGGATGGGTTCTGCACTCTCACTGGGTCAGAAACTGGGCACATATCAAACTAGTCTCAGGGTGCAGAGCCACCTGGGCTGAAATTCAGATGTGCAGTTGCCATAGCTCTCTGCTGCTCCCTATATCTTAAAATGTCCAGTCTAATTTTGGGATGGTGGCTCAGTAAGGGCTGGAAAATCAGTTCAAACTCCCATCAATGCTATGACTCTAAGGCAACTGCCTTCCTGGACTATGCAGGGTTATAACCTTGGAAGAGAGAGTCATGAAACAAGTTATGCCCAAGAGATGTAGACATGCATTCATTTATCACCCACTCCCTATTTTCACTATAATATCTACCCACCCAATCTCCCTCCCTTCCTCCATCCTTCAGTGGCCCATGGCAGCACTCTGTCCTGCTGTCCTCCTCTCAGGGTGCAGTCTCATCTGATTCCAACAGTGTTCATACTGATATACACAGGCCATCAGACTTCCCAAGCAGTGGACCGCAGTCCAAGAACAGGATCTGAGACTCTTGTCTTCTCTCTCCATTCCCAGGGCATTACTAATGAGAGAAAGCGGAAGCTGGAGCAGCAGTTACAGAGCATCATGGTCCTCAACCGTCAATTTGAGCATGTGCAGAATTTCATCAATTGGGCTGTCTGCAGCAAAACCAGCGTCCCTTTCCTTTTCAGCAAAGAGCTGGTAAGAAGAACTCCAACTTCTCAATCATTGTTTTTGTGTTAGTAAGAGAATGCCATCTTTTGCCAAACCCCACAGTGCAAAGGACCCAGGTGCTGAAATGGTCCTGCTTGCCTCCCGGCAACTCAGCTTGGAAATTCTGTACTTCTTTGTCTTAGGTCGTAGATTCTGACATTATCCTGGACATTAGCAGTGTGCTAGACATCCCATAGAAAGCTATTTTGGTCTAAATGGGGCTATGAGGGAAGGAGGAGTTGAGGATGATGTTGAAATGTTGGACTTGGGAGGATGGTGATGCTCGGGAGAAGGAGCAAGAATTCTGAAAAAATTTGATTGGGTTTATATTTGGATGTGTTGAATGTAAGATGCCTGTAAGATATCTAAAAAGAGATGTCTAAAATCTGTTTTGATAGATAGGTTTGGAAGTCAAAAGGAAAGTCAGGGTTGGAGATGTAGGAGTCACTGGGATATCAGTGGTCTCACCTTGGAAGAGTCTGTGGAGGAAGAAGAGAAGAACAAATTTAGAACCCAGGGAAATACCATGATTTTCAGCATAGACAGGGGAAGAGGATGAGTGAAGCAGAGTGAGAAGCAATAGTCAGAGGCCAGGGGAGATTTAGGAGGCTGTGGCACACAGAAATTAACAGAGAGTTTCAGATTTCAAGTGGTCACCGTTATCACTGCTACATAGTGAAAGAGGATCAGTAGTGAAGAGGGGCCTTGAGGTCTGGGAATCAGGAGGTCCCTGATGATCTTTTGAAAGAAATTCCAGTGAAGTAGAAGAGTTAAAAGCTAGAATGAGGGGACTGAGGATGGGAGGTGAGGAAGTAGAGACGGAAGTGAAAAGGGAAATAAGAAGGTAGCTTGAGATGGAGGCAGACCTTTTTTAAGTATGGAAAACATTTGCACACATTTTATTTGTGAGGAGAGGTTGAAGATAGAAAGAAGAGATGTGTGGTAGAGTGAGCATACTGAGAAGGCAGGAGGAAGTGGGGTCGAGAGTAAACCAGTCGCCCTTAAACATAAGAGGCGCTCCCTTCCTCCAAGATGGGAAGACAGGAAGGGATTATTATACTATAGTTAAGTTTGGAGGTAGGAGAGGTACAAGTTTGATGGAGTTTGCCCTCTGTGGTCTGTTTTGTCCTCTGTGAAGTAAGAGGTGATAGTAAGAAGGTTAGGCACTGGGTAAGTGGCATTGAGGAGAGATGTGAATATTTTAAGTAGTCGTTGAGGACAGTGGAAGAGGAAGCTGACAAGAAAGGAAGTGACAAGAAAAAGGACTGAGGGATGCCCCTGAGGTTAATGATCACTGAAGCGACCCCAGATAACATGGCTTTGGGATGGCTGGACTGACCTAAGTTTAGGCATTGGTGATGGGGAGGCAAAATGGCACCAGTGATATTGTTATTGAAAATGATGGGAAAGGGCTTGGAGACTTCAATGAGGTTGAAGAGCATGCTCAGAAAGAGCGAGAGCGGGTTACGATCAGGAAGTAGGTTGTTGGAGTTGAAGGTCTCATAGGTAGAATGGTTCTAGATGATGAAAAGGGTCTAAGTATGGTGACTGAACTGAAAAGAGAGGTGAAGGTGGCTGACATTAAAGAGGTCAAGAAAGTAAGAGGACAAGATGTTGATTGAGACATTAGTTAACTAGATGATGGCAGTTAAGTTGGACAATTGCCAAAGTCCTAGATAAACGGGACAGTTAGTGATTAGAGATAGAGGAAAGTGATGAGGGAGGAAGAGGGCAGTTGATTAGGATGGAAGGGAGTTTTACATGTGGGTGGAAGGACAGCAATGGGGAACTCAGAGAACGTCTCCGCCATAGGTTGTTGAATTGAGGTTATGTTGGAATGAATGGAGCACTCTTGAGAAGGCTGCCAAGCAAGTGATATCTTGAGGGAGAATTACAAATCATCTGAGGCCTGGAAGAGATAAGAATGTAGGGGTTCCAGAAGCCTCAATAAGAGGAATGGGATCAGCAGTAGGAAGGTGGGGAGAGAAGAATGTAAAGATACTAAAGTGCATGGAAAGGAGCATATGGGGGAGGACCAGAGGCTAAAGAGCGATGGCTTTGAGCCTTTCAACCTGTCTGAAAGATGAGGGAGAGGGAGTTATTCAGATGCAAGATGCCCAGAGAAATGACCGTTAGTGCTGCTGTCAGATTGTGTTTCAGATGCAGCGATTGCTGGAGACAAATTGTAACACAGATCCTGGCTCCCCTTGGAGTATCAGATTCACCTGGGAGCCTAACTTCTGGACCAAGCAGCTGGCTTCGCTTGGTGAGCCAGGGCCCACCCTGTGGGCTTTTACATAATTGCTAAGAACAAATATAGAGCTTAGCTTACTGGATAGGTCAGCACATGCCCAAGAGAAAGCACTCCCTGAGACTGCCAATGGTCATGGAGTCACTCAGCAATCCTTTTTTGGGGGGTTTGAGATTGGGATGAGGAGTGGATGGCTTAAATACCGGACTTTTGTGACAGGACTAGTTGAAATCTGAGCTTCCCATTCTGCATGAATGTCCCTGTTACCTTGGTTTCATTGCTGGAGAGGAGACAAGACAGTGGCCATGCTCTCCAGAATGCTGTAAGGTAGTGCAGGTGAACCTGTGTCTCTGTGGTCATACAAGGGTATACGTGTACGTGGTTACAAACAGGGGTATCTCAGCAACAGTAAGACAGAGAGGGAGAAAGAACGCACACCATTTGGAGTTGAGATGTAAGCAGATAGTTCATCTTCCTTTCTTGCGGCAATAATTTGCTGGCGTCCAGTCTTTAGGCAGAATGTAGACAACTGGAAGTTGTGCCTGTGTTGACAACCTGACGATGGTAGGCTTGTTAAACTAATGGCCAACCTTTGCCTTCACGTGGGCTGTTAATCTCATTGAAAGTTTTTTGAACTTGACAGATCGATGAATGATATTTAGGTTTATTTTTTGCTGCCCTTTCCCTTTTGATTTAACGCAATAGACCTTTGGTAGGCCCCTGCTCTGGGTCATGCCCCATGCTGGGCACTAAGGGACCAAGGTGAATAAAACACACTTCCTGCCCTCAAGTTGCTCAGTCTCGCCCTAAGTAAGCCTCATCAAAACAATGAGCTGAAGAGGCCATTAGACTAAGCTAGTGATAGATATCATCTACTCATACACGAGGGCCAAGGGACCTGAGGACAGTGCTGGTGCCTGGCACTGAGCTGCCGTGGGAGATTCCCCACTCTCTTCCTTCCTACTTGCGCAACACACAGTTCCCCAGACCCGTATTTGAAGACTTGCTCATTTGTCCTGGGGATGACTTTCTCTCCTTTGCTACTTTCCAGCACATTCCCTCCCTACCCCTAATGATGATTTTTTTTCTGAGTCTCTGTTAAAAATGAGTAGGTGCTATTTGAGAGAGCCCATGGTTTCTCTGGTGGGATACAAATAGAGGCAGGACTGAACATCAGGTGAAACCTGAACTAATTTCTCAAATGTTCCAGGCCCCCAAAGCAGGTCCATACAGGTTCTGTTGCTGGCAGTATTCTAGACTGAGTCTTGGAGATCAGGGGTTGAATTTCTTAATCTCTGCCCTGGTACAGGTTTGTTGAGTGATGTCCTTTGGTCCCAGGAGTAGGAGGTAGCAGAGGGGGAACAACCGCAGATTACCTTTGGAAACACTCTCTATTCTGAATTTTCAGGCTGTATAACTACTGAAGGTGGACAACTGTCCCAGGCAGATGCCCCTGCTTATGGAGGCTTACAGGGACCATCATCCTTTTATCAAAGCCATCAGTCCCCAGTGGCTCAGCAAGAGAGTCGTAGCCACCCCTCTCATAAGTTCCAGTCTCCAGCACTGTGTTCCTCATCTGTGTGCTGCTCCCACTGCTCCCCAGTCTCGCCCTCCCTCAAAGGCCAGGTCCCTCCACCCAGCATACACCCAGCCCACAGCTTTAGGCAGCCCTCTGAGATGGTGCCCCAACAACTAGGATCACTGCAGTGTTCCACCCTGCTGCCCAGAGAGAAAGAGCTGCCTTGCACTCCTCATCCACCAAAGCTGCTGCAGCCCTGGCTGGATACCCAGCCCCCCGGGGAGCAGGAGAGCACATCCCAGCGGCTGGGGCAGCAGCTGGCTTCCCAGCCGGTGTGCATCGTCCCTCCCCAGGATGTTCAGCAAGGAGCCCATGCCCAGCCCACCTTACAGACACCCTCTATCCAAGTTCAGTTTGGCCACCACCAGAAGCTAAAGCTCAGCCACTTTCAGCAGCAGCCGCAGCAGCAGTTGCCACCTCCGCCACCTCTGCCACCTCCACCCCAGCAGCAGCCACCCCCACCTCTACCTCCATCCCAACATCTGGCTTCTAGTCAGCGTGAGAGCCCTCCTGGGTCTACCTGTTCCCAGAACGTGGACATAATGCACCACAAGTTTGAGCTGGAGGAAATGCAGAAGGACCTGGAGCTTCTCCTTCAGGCTCAACAGCCCAGCCTGCAACTGAGTCAGACCAAATCGCCTCAGCATCTTCAGCAAACAATTGTGGGCCAGATCAACTACATTGTGAGGCAGCCAGCACCTGTCCAGTCCCAGAGTCAGGAGGACACTGTGCAGGTGAGCCTCAGGGTGGCTTGGGGCACGTATTCTCCCCGTCCTAGGATCGCTCAGGGAACACAGCCTCCCCAATCACAGGGTGGCGTAGAACACAGTTTTTTCATCTTATTGTGGCCTTGAGCTCAGCCCTCACCTTTAAAGACTGCCCTGGCCTCCACCGCCCATCTCAGGAAAGCTCCAGAGAATATAGTACCTAGTCCCAAAGTAGAGCTGGGCTCGGTACTATCCAGAGTGGCCTGTCTTAGCCCTGTCCTCCTGGGCGACACTAGAGACCCTCCCATGAATGGAACCTTCTGAGCTGTGCTGTACTCCTGCCAGTGCCAGGGCAGAAGAGAGGCTGTCTCTTATCTTTGTAACTTCCTCACATCCCTTGCTGGAACTATGAATCTCAGACAGAGGGAAGGCGAGAGCTTAAGGAGTGGGGGGAGGGTAAGCATTAGATGCTCATGAGCAGCATGTTTATAACACTGCACAGATACAGACTTCAAATTTGTTTCAAGCCTACTAAGGCTAGGTATGTTTTTTGTTTGTTTGTTTTACAACATCTTTAAATTTTAATGAAAACGTAGATAATCTGTTTTAAAATTACAAATTCAATTACAATTTCAAGAGAAAAGATGTATCTATACACCAACTTTACATACATACAGAAAAACTGGACTTTGAAGCCCTAATGTTTCAAAAGTATTCAGGCTAGGTACGTTTTATATGCACCATATCATTTAGCCTATCGACAACATTGCTAGGTAGGCATTACCATCTGTATTTTATAGGTGCAGAAGTGGAGATCAGAGAGGGCAGGCAGTCTGCCTAGATAGCATAAAACATTGAGTATAGAGCCAAGAGCTGGATTCAGGCCGGCTGACTCTAATGCTAGAGAAGAGGCCTTGTTCTCTCCAAAGGGGACTGAGGAATGCTGCTCCTCTCTTTGCTCAGCTAAAAGCCAATTGAAGGGGTACAGTTTGTACCTCTGGGATCTTTGCTGCATTCCACATCTTTATTCTCAACTCTTGCTTTTATTTTTTTTCCCAGAGCTTCCTGTTCCAGCCCCTTCCTCCTACCCCTTCTCACTTTTCCCATAGTGGTGTCTGTTTTAAATCTGTAATCACATTTATATCCTCAGAGAAGCTCTATAGACTTTTACTTTATTAAAAAATATAGGGCCTCACATTTATGCTTTAATGAAGTTGGTACTGATAACTTCAGATCATGCTTCAAATATCTTTCTCTGAGCCTCAGTTCCTTTGAGGGGATATGGAACAGTCCCCATAATGGCAGAGAGGGGTCTAGGGTTCACAGAGGACCACGAGCTAAGGTCAAAATTGTTATGATTGCTAAGGTGAATATGACAGAGTTAGCTCAGAATTCTCATTTTGGGTTCTATCCTAAGACTATCATATTGGGATATAGTTTTAGGAAGAGTTTAGATAAGAGTATCTTTCTTTTTGAAAAATGTTTAAGCAGTTCACAATATGTAGGTGGTGACAATGGGCAGTGCAGGGTGGGCATTAGTCTTTGCTGCTGCTGCTGCTGCTGTTACTCTGTGCAGTGAAACCCACTCAAGTTCTTATTTTCTTCTCCAGGCTACAGATGAGCCGTCAGCATCTGAAGGCCCAAAGCCAGCTCTCCCTCTTGACAAGAATACTGCTGCTGCCTTGCCTCAGGCATCTGGGGAAGAAACCCCTCACAGTGTCCCCCAACTGGACAGCACCATCCAACACTCCTCTCCGAATGTGGTGAGAAAGGTACTAATGGAGCCTGCTTTCCCTGACCACATGGGGCCCACTGCCAGCCAAGACCCCAGGGACCTGAACGAGGATGACTGGGCAGGGGGAAGAGGGTCCCTGTTCCATCCTGGGATGTTACAGAGCTCTGACTCATGCCTTCTGTCCTAATGAGTCAGCAACATGGGTGGTCCTCCTCCACCCCTGTTCCACTCCCACATACCCACTTAAAGTAAGACCAACTGGGCTTCATGCAGAGTGGACGGGGAAAGGGAAAGAACGCCAATTCACTGAACACTTATTCTGTGCCTGCAACTGTGCCTGGTGCTTCACAAGCATTATCTCCCTTAACCCTCCCAAAAGTTCTATGAGGTGGGCATCCCCATCTTATAGCTAAGGAAACCGAGGTCCAGGGGCCTGTGTTTAGTAGCTGAGAGGGCTGAGGTTTATTTAAAACAAAATCTGTCAGAATCCAAAGCCTGAACTTTTTCCTCTCTGCAATGAAAATGGTGAAAATATTTTATGTAGCCCTACAACCCAAAGTTGATTGGCCTTAGAATTTGAGTCAGTGGAATTTGTTGGGTGGGTGGTCTGTAGGGCTGTCTTGCATAAGTAGCTGAGCATCTAAGGGCACTAGGATCTCTTTAGGTAAGCTATTGGAGGCCTACCTGCTTGCTGGAAGTGTTCGTTTACTCTGGCAATAACCCAGAACCCCACACTCCTCAGCTGTCCTACTATTACCCCTGCGCATCACTCCCACCCCTGTCATCCTCCTAGCTGGAACCTCAGCACTGTGCCGTGCCCTCCACTCAGCCCTCCCTGGGTCCCTTGGCCCTGTTCCACTTATCCTGTTGCCTTCTCTAATCTGGTACCCTCAGCCTTCCCAGTGCCTCCACTTAGCCCTGTACTTGAAGCTCTGTTAGTTATTCTGTGTGCTCCCAGCCTGCACCCTCAGCCCGGCAGCATCCCTCTGGCCCTGAAGCCCCACTATACTCATTGTTCTGTGTACCCACCCCTCACCATCTTTCCCCCAGCAGCACCATTGCCGTATATGTCTTAGATCAATCTATCTCAGTGATTCTTGAGAAGAGAATTTAGAAAAGTAGGGGATGGCAAAAATGAAACGTTGACTTGGAAATCCCTAGTGACTCTTGAAGTCTGGGCAGGCCTCTGGTATTAATGGCTTTTTTCTATGCCCGTGCTGTCCTGCCTGTTGAAAACAATTTGGCCTAGAGGCCATAGAGGTGCTGTGAATAGGCCCTTTGTGGCTCTTAGGGGTTTAACTTCTCCTACTTGGGCCAGCTACCTATCCATCCAAACATGTATTTATTCACTCGATGTTCAAAACCTATATGTTAACCTCCTAGTAGGTGCCAAATATTTTTCCAGGTGCCAGGCACACATTGGTGGGTAAGATAGTCTCATACTGGAACTTACAGTCTGGTGGGAGAGAGAGTTAACCAAGCAACAGCAATCAAGTTTGATGAAGTGCTATGATAGTCGTTGGGGTGTATAGAAGGAGCACCTAACCCTGGGAGAAGGACTGTCCACAGAAGACTTCCTAGGGGACATGGTTTTAAGCTGAGATTTGAAGGAGATGTTAGGCTGGTGCAGGGGGCATTTAGGGGGATTGGTGAGGAGAATACATGGTTAAAGGGAATGACAAGTAGGAAGGTCCAGAAGTGGGAGAAAGCCTGGGGCACTCAGGGGGTTGCTGATAGTTTGGCTTGGTAGGAACACGAGATGTCCTGGGGAATAGAAGTGAGTGAAACCAGAGCAGTTGGAAGGCCTTGTAAATTATGCTCTGAGTTGGGATTCAGTCTTGAGGGTTGCGAGGAGTGAATGAAGGATTTCTAGCAAGGAGGGACATGGTTTGAATTAAATTTTAGAAAGGTCACTTTAGCTGTAGTAAGGGAGACCAAAATAGTTTACAGAGGAGAAGTAGGAAAGATTGAATGAAATAAGTAATGATGAGAATAGAGAGGAAGCAAGGACTTCCAGAGCTCAGATCACAGGAGCTTTTGGACTTGGAGTCTGATTGGTGATGGGAAGTGAGGGAGAGAAAGTTCTTTGGCTTCACATTCAGCCAAGACTTCTGTCTTGGCCCAATGGGTTGCCATTCACTGAGGTGGGAGCACGGGAAGAAGAGCATGTTTTGAAGGATGAAGAGTTAAGTTTCAGTTTTAAATTATTGATGTTCTCATATGGAAACTACATCAGAAGATGACGGGAAGGCAGCCAGCTCTGGATGTCAGTAGTTGAGAAGTAAGCACAGGGATTACCAGGGCTCAAGTGGTAGTGGAAGCCAAGCAGAAAATACCGCTACTTATTTGATGAGTCTCAATTCTGTTCCTATACCCAGTACAGAGGAAAGGAGGCAAGCCACGGGCAAGCATGGAGTCTGTGCTGCCTGTGGGTGTGGCCCACAGGGCTCTCTGAGCAGCAAGGGGATACTACCCTCCGGTGTGGCTGCAGGTTGGCAGTGGGGTTAGTGAAGGTCCTAGGAACCCCAGCTTCTCATTTTGAGCAGCCCCTGGCCCTTATTAACCTGGGCTCATGTAGAAGTTTGGCAGGGCAGGTGGCCTGGAATTTTTCAGGTGTTTTATAGGCTACAACATGACCCGGACTCCCAGGAAAAGGAACCTCAAGGTTGCTGTCCCGGCCCAGAGGAAGCTTTGGGTCCACTTGACTGAGAGAGGTCTGGTTGCACACATGGTTACTGAAATAAGAAAAAAGGCTTTTTTTTTTTTTTTTTTGAGGGAATTCATTGCCTTGAAGGTGGTATTGGGCAGGGTGGAGGGTGTGAAGATTGAGGATACCAAACAACATTCTGAGCATCTTATTGAATGATAATACTTTATATAGCATTTTTCTACTTTTTTCCATAGGTTTTTACGTGGATTATTCCATTTTATTTCTTTGTGTATCCTAGAAATACTGTAAGGAAACTACTTTCTTATTCCCCTTTGAAAAATGTGGAAACTGAGACACAGAAAGGTTAAGTGACCCACCTAATAGTTATACAGCTGACCCTTGGCAGGGTTAGGACCAGAGCCCAGGTTCCTGACTCAACCCTGTATTCAATGACTAGGTTAAATTGTCTCTCTTTGTGCACTGCACTGGGAGAAGTAGGACTCCATTTGGCCTCTCACTTGCTGGGTTGTCCTGCCTTCGCAATCTTTGAAGTAGCCTAAGGCCTTGCTGGGGAGAGGTCTTATTAGGACCCAGCCTGGTTTAGTCTTGGTTATCTTTATCTGGTAAAGATGTTTTAGCCTCCAGCCCACTCCTCAGCTTGTGATGGCTTGTGAGAGCCCGGGAAGTCAGAAGTCTGTCTGCAGGTCACAGAGCAGAGGAACCTGTGGCACCTGTACCTCTCTGTGTGTCCACAGGGACTCATTGATGCTCTGAGCTGCTCACTGACCACAAGGAGGACTTTTGTTACAGCAGAGCAGCGGTGCACAAGTACCTAGGAGTTGGTACTAAATGAGCTTATGGTGAAAACTGATTGCTGCTGAGCATGCGATGTGAAGGTGTGATCATTGGTTTTCTAGTGTCTTGAGCTCTGCAGTCTCAGGAGCAGCTCATCCAGCTACCCTCCCTGCATCCAGCAGTATGTTTTTGAATGAATTTTGACATTTGTCTGGCACTAGCTGTTGCCTAAGCTTCCTAATCTTGGTTTAGCCACGCTGAAGAAAGACCATGGTAACAACTCTGCAACAGAACTCCCTTACATCCCAAGTGAAACTGGAAGACATTTGGATGGCTTCATTTCATACTTCTGAACTAGTCGACTGCTGAAAAATATACGCACTCTTCTTCAAAGCTCTCATGGAGTCAAGGCTGCAGGCATCACAGAGAGCCCTGTCTGCGCCCCAGTTCACCTGCAAGAAGGACCTCTCTTCTGCTCATAATATAGCCCAGATCTTCAAGTGAGAACTTTGAAGCCACCAGGATGCTGCTTATAGCTTGAGAGGAGTCTGAGATGTATTTTCAGTAAATGATACCAAGGCAGTAGGCATTCCTGTGGTCCAGATTATTAAGAGTGATGCAGAAGAGTAAAGGATAGTGACTCAGATGCATAGCATTTATACCAGTATCAACTGTGATGCCTAAGCTCTTAATTCAATCTTTACAACTCAGTGAGATTTCCATTAACCTGTGGAGGAGGAAATTAAAGCCCAGAGATGGGAAATGACTTGCTTAAACTCATACTCTAAGCCTTGGCCTAACTAAACTAACTAAACTAACTAAATCAACTCCTATGGACCAGATCATGCATTTTCAACCCCAGCAATGATCTTTTCATCATAGCGTGACTCTGATACCAGCTTTTGCTCATAGTGTTCCCAGGACCTGGTGAGGTTTTCTTAGAGCACAACCTGTGTCCTGATCAGCATATGCAGAACTGTACAGAGATCCGCTCTGTCCTACTCAGGAACCAAGCCAAACACTCCCCAGGTCTGGCTTCCTGAATTTTACGCCCTCTAGGAAGCCTGTCTCGTTAGTTCTAGCCTGATTTCATTCACAGACCAAACCCCAGATCTTTGTATAGGTCTCCTGGTCTATGGGAAAACAGGTTCTGGCTCCTAGGCCCTAAATTCCTTACCCTGGCCTGGTCAAAATACCTCTGGCCTAATTCTCCTGAGTCTCCAAGGTTTGGGTTTTGAGGGTTCCACTCATTTTGGCTTTCGCTTCAGATTTGCTGGAATCCATTTATTCCTCTCCTCTTCCTTCCACCTCACACTCTGGGATCCTCTTTCCTTTTTTTGTCTTCCCTGGATCATCAGGGCACTGCACACCCTTCAGTTCTTCTCTCTTCACCACCCACGAGCGTTTTCCCATCTCACTCTGCTCAGTTAGCATATATCAGCATAGTTACATCCACAGGAAAAGGCTTAATTTGTACAAGAGCTTTATACTGAGCTGGAGGAGTACTCACTGTCAATAAGAGCAACAACTTCTCTATTAAAAATCAACTTGGGAAACCATTTGCCAGAAAAGTTAGTTCTTCCCTCAGGTGT